TCTCTCTCTCTCTCTCTCTCTCTCTCTCTCTCTCTCTCTCTCTCTCTCTCTCTCTCTCTCTCTCTCTCTCTCTCAAACAAACTCTCCAACTCACCTGTTAAACACAGGCAACAGTGAGCTCTCTTTCCGAGGCTACTCCAAAGCATCCTATCAATTACAGGAAGCAAAGCAAGAAGCGCTCTCTCTCTCGTTATTGGTTTTTGATGTCTCTCTCTCATAAGTACCACTAACCTGATGCGATTTTCAAGTAACAAGTATTGTTACAAATGATTTATTTCAAGGCGTGGGATGATCTGCTTCTATTTCTCAGTCAATGTTAAATTCTTGTCATTTTACCAATTGGAAGACTAATTTTTAGTGAGGGAGAAGATGCACCCAATTTATGTTTTATTGTACTGTACCGATTAGATGATATGTTTTGTAATGAAAGAGAGAAGTTTCTCATCCTAATAGATGTTTAAATTGTATAGATTAGATGATGATTTTTATAGTGAGAGATGTTTGTTTCCAATTGATGTTTGTTGTAATGTACCAATTGTAAAGACGTATCATTATTTTTGTGACTGTAGTTTTGTACGGGTCTCATGAGTGTGCAACTCAGAAACTCAGGAATTATTTTCCGATCTGGCTGTATCCTGGGAGTGTACTCATCGGGACTCGTTTGCACCTCGAAATTTTACTGAGACGGGGGCATTTAACACTTCGAAGAAAGCGAGAGCATCTCATGCCTCCAGATCCCCTGTTTCTAGGTCCCAATTTTGGGAGTTCATGTCCACCATGATGTTTTGTAAACCACGGTGAGACCCCAATTGACCAACACTATAGCTCCGTTGTTGCGATGGGTAAATTACAAAATACATAATAGAGGAGCAGCATAAATATGCTAAGATTATCTCTGTGACCATGATAGCCAAAGAATGTTTATGGATGGATATAACTTCCACATCCAAGTGAAGCAATGGCAAGCCTAAGTCCGACTAGTGGCTAGGCCTTTTGCGGTTGTGAGCCCATGCTTCTTTCATTAGCACAACGAGCCCAAAATCTAGGATTAAGGTGGTAAAAACAAGTCAACTCAGGTTTGGGTAAACCCTAGACCTGACCCAACTTGATTCAGGTAAGACCTGGGCCTGGATCGAGTCAAACTCAAATGGACTCAAACCTAACCTACCAAGTTGGTTCACATCTTAGTCCTGGCACATCGAGCCCAAGTTGAGATATTAAAAAAAAAATGTTACATAAACATATTACATACACGCATACACAAACACAGAGCTGTTCAGGTTAGTTCAGATCGAGATAGACACAGACTTGAAATGGACCCGGGTCAGGTCCAGGTCCAGTGGATCTATACCCGAACTGATGGGTCCAATAACTAAGTCCAGACCCAAGCCCAGGTTAGGTCAAACCACCGATTTGACCAAATTACTACCCCTAGCTAGCATGACAAGCAACAAGTGCCATCATTAAACTCCATAGGCATTAACCATCAACAGGGGTTTCAAATCAATAAAACTACTTGTTGGAAGGTTTCTCTTGATAGGTCTACCAGAACTAGAATCATTCATCTCTCCCTTATGGAAATGGAGCAACTGAGATTGAGACACATAGTTGGGACCATAGTTACCGGGAGCAGGAACGGCTCCGATTTTGGGAGCGGAAGCATCGGATCGATGGCTGCCCAAAGCTCCAGAGCTCAGAAGCGAGTTCCGGTGAGAGTAAAAGTAGCAGATCGAGATCCCATATGAAGAGGGAGTGCATTTCCAATACAACGGGATCTAGATCCTTACTTAATGGGTACACGATCCATGTACAATGGGATCGTGTTCCCATATTCAATAGAATCGTGCTCCCATCCACAACAGGAACGAAATCCATTTGTAGTTGAGTCGCGCCCCAATCTAAGAATGATCGTGTTCCTATTTGGAAAGGATTGAGCTCCATTCAAGGATGGATCGCATTCCGTACATCTAACGTAAAACAATTCATTCAAAATTAGAAAACATTTATTGTCTTTAGAATAAAAGTAATATCAAATAAAAAAGCATATAAAAGTAGTAATTTAGAGCATCTATGTAAAGTTAATGTTGCAGATTGTTAAAGCCAAGGCCAAGCCCTTCATATTTGAAGGGGGAATTTGTGAAGGATGGTCTGCATTACCATATTGTATATTTATTCTCATGAAAAATCTTATTTTTAGGATGGAGTTCCGTGAACACAGGGATCGTGCTCCTAATATTCGGGGATCAAGGATCTTATTTGTTTGGCCAGGCCAGCCAGTTCCCCTTCGAGCTTCGCTCCTCGGATATTGGGTGTCACTAGCTTGCCTGCTGAAACCAGCTCAAGCTTGGACTAGTAGTGCGATCCTATCATAAAAACCATCTCTCTCATCACTCGAATCGCACATGAGACCACTAAACTTTTCATAGTGACCTTTGTTGCCTTCTCTTGCTCAGCCTAAGAGTTTTTTCAGGATGAAAGGACTGAGGATCAAACAATCACTATTATATACTTCTTAACAAGATCAAGGAGGATAATGATTGGGGACACACTTGCTCATGCCGCGACAAGACAACTTCCGAGAACATGTACGGAATTTTCACGTTCCTTTTTAGAGCCTAGAGTGAATCAATTCTGAAGTCAGTTGCCTGAACCAATTCTCGAATTCATTTCAGGGTTGGGGAGAGTAGAAGTTTCCAAGCTTTCTTTTTTTCGACCAATGAGAAGTTTTTTTACCTTTCAAAACGAAATATCATGCGTAAATAAAGTAAATACAATGGCAACTAAAAGATTGTTTACACAAACCTCACAAATACATTAATTATGAATCGACAAGGAAATTCATTTATCCAAAAAAAAGTTGTAGAAAATAAAAGAAGGGATCAACCAGACATGTGAGGGAACAAAGGAAGGGTTGCAAGGTATAACCTTCACAAATTTTTCACCAATATCTTTGCTAGTGGAGGAGGATCCATACACAACCAGAATCTTTCTAGGTGCTTGTTTTGAGAAATAAATATGGTATGGATTTGAATTATGGCCTTATTAAAAGTCCAAGAAATAAGACAAGCTTATCCCATGTTTGGAGAGGGATTGACTATGAGAGATTTGCATATTAGGGGCAGTTCCAGAAAGTAGTGGGGAATGGAGAGTCCACATTGTTTTGGTTAGACAAATGGATTGGTGACTACCCTTTGATATACCTCTTCCCTGACGTTTTCTCAAAAGTCTTAAACCCACTAGCATCTGTCAAGGAGGCTAGTGGGGGTATCTATGCTAACATTGTTTGGTCAATTCCTTGCAGGTACAGGAGAGTTACAGATAGATTAATTAAGGAGTATCAGTCATGTTTGGATTTATTGGATGGCACATATCATACTCCAAATGTGGATGATAGTGTTATTTGGGACCTTACCACTTCGGGGTAATTTTCGGTCAAGTCAACCCACAACCTCTTGTTCAGTGACCAATGGAGGGACTTGGATGCTGGTCGCTTCCAGACCAAGTAATTATGCGTGCCTCTTAAAGTACTGCTTTTTTTATGGATCATGTGCTAAGATAAATTAGAAATTATTGACAACTTGAGGAGGGGCTTTATTATTACCAATGTATCTTATGCAAAGGTAGCAATGAAACATCGCAGCATTTATTCTCATCATGCCCTTTTGTTACATATCTTTGGGACTGGGCTTGCCAATGTCTCAATCTATCATTACGACTGCCCTAGAATGTCAGAGCACTTCTTGATCGATGGATCACACCAGGTATCTCAAAGAAGGGTACTATTCTCTAGAGATCTATTTGGGTTAGTCTTCTTTGGAATGTGTGGAAGGAAAGAAATAGCAGAGTCTTTGACAGTATATGTACAAATCCATCTACATTAAAATCAAATATCATCACAGTTGTAGCTGATTGGCTCCTTACTCATAAGGACAATGGCTTCATTCCTAAAAGTCTCATTATTAGCGATCCCCTGGCAGTGGCGAGTGTGGGTGTTGTTTCTAACACCCGTAGTGCGGTCCTTTGGAAACCACCACCAGTTCAAACTTAACTTTCATGGAAGTTCATTTGGCAATCCAAGCGCAGCAAGCTATGGAGGACGAATAATTTGAGTCACATTATTCTTTCATATTCAGTTCCTTGTGGTATCACAACAGCAAACGAGGGTTGAAATTGCTATATACTTTAGAAGGGGGCAGGGCAGGATTATCGAAGGAGACTTGGCAAATGCCATTGCTTGAGTAAGAGAAAGGCCCATATTCCTTAGAGATTAAGGATTATTTTTCATCAGATTTGGGATATTCAGTCAACCTCTACGGCAACTGTTCAACATTGCTATAAGGAGGTGAAGAAGACACCGACATCCTTGCCGAAGGAGGAGTTCATGTTCCCTCTTTGGTGGTCACCTCTTTTTAGTAATCTTTTGTTTTTTGTTTGAACACTTTGTATTTTACATTCTGATTAATGAAAAGTCTTACATTACCGTTCAAAGATAAAAAAAAATAGTTTATGGTCCCTGCAATATATCAACCTTCTTTATAGTGGACAAAAAATAATAGATTAAAGAATTCATGCTTGCCAGTATATGATGCAGCATAAGAAGTCCATAACATGAAACAACAGAAGTCCAAATCGTGTTTAGATTCAACATTATATACATTAAAGGGAAGAAATGCCCATGCCAGTGGTTATAGTCATAAGTATCAACCGAATATGACAATAAAGTAAAAAAAAATTGTTTTTGGTTAAGATTCGATAAAGCTTTAGCAATAAATTTGTTTCAAACAACAATGGACTTAATGCTTTTAGCAATACAACAGTTAACAATTTCAAAAAAAAGAAGGAAAACAAAAGTTTTTGGCTAAGACTCGAAAAAGTTTTAGCAATAAATTTGATTCAAACAACAATGGACTTAATGCTTTTAGCAATACAACAGTTAACAATTTCAAAAAAAGAAGGGGAAAAAAAAAAAACAATGGACTTAATGCAAAGGCATGAATTACCTGTACAGTTTTTGACCCCTCGTTCTCAAACATGTCATATGAAGATAAAACAGCCTTTCTAGATGCAAGTGAATCAGCGTCTGCTTCAAGATCCTCAGATCCCATTACTACCTCACAATCACTCTCACTAGATGTGCTATACACGCTACTGCTACTACTGCTACTACTGTTACTATTGCTGCTACTATTGTAAAAATGATGGCACAGTACATTCGACTCAATCCATGAGCTCTCCGGAATATCACTTCTGTTCAAACTTCCAGGTACAAAGCTGCAGAAACAATGTGTCCTGTTAGTTAATAACAAAAGAAAAGTCGCATTACATCTAGTGAAATTATAAACAGTAGAAGAATGACATTAAAGTCATTATCAAATGCTGACACATACTACCAACCAGTACGTTTTTCAGCCCAATACATGGACTGAGAACTATTTTCCTATAGTTAATTGCTGAAAATTTATTGAACAAACAAAACAGCATGAAGTCAATCAGACATTGTAATTAAAATACCATTTCCTGCTTCATGGAGAAAAAGAAGAATAATGGACAACATGATACAACTGCTGAAATTCATTGAACAAACAAAACAGCATGAAGACAATTTGATTCCTCTCTTCAAAAGGAAATCGAAAAAATATTATTAATATAATATTATCAATAATATTTTTCTTCTGTAAAACCGTACACGTGATTTAGTAAAGATCGATGCTAATGAACTTCCCCTATTCCACTAGGGCCACTTGTATTTTCTAAATATAGTGTCATTTTCACTAGTTTCAGCGAAGCTATTTCACTCCTAAATTACTTGGAGATTCCAGGTTCTGCATTTTCATCCCCATCAATGTTATCAAAGGTGGCCCATCTGGGTAAAGCCTGCCTAAATATGCAGCACCTAAAGCCTGAGCCCATGCAGCAGCCGAGTGAAAAACCCACATGTGAGCAGAAAACCCACCCACAAGGAGGGATATGGGGACTTCAATACCCACTTCCAGCAAGATGCAGTCGCCTTCTTTAACTCAAAATTTATTCTTTTGCAGTGGCCTTCTTTAACTCAAAACTTTATTCTTTCTCCAAAGTACCCATTTAGAAAGATAAATGGGCATCTTCCCAACCTTAATGATAAAAACATTGTTGTTTTGCAATTTACATGAAAAAAACAATTTGGGGGAGGGATTTAACTGGATAAGCAACAACTAGTCGGGGTCAGAGGAATATTGCTAAGTGCAAGAGAGCAACAAACTGTTCCTTTCTCTACCTACCCTCACTTACATGTTTGCTGCAGAAGATAACTAACCAAAGTGGTATCTTTTCGATCTATTACATTGGCTGTTTAGCAATAAGAGTTTCCAACTAAGTTGCATAACCGTTTTAACAGAAAGGTAGATTATTCAGTCCATACATAAAAGCAGGCCATTCAGATGGGAAAACAAGTGACTCTGAAGCAATCCCCATTACTAATGCTGGATCTCACATATTTAAGAGGGGCCCAGTGTTCTAAAAGGCAAACCACCCCGCGTCTAGGCGGTACAGAGGGCCTGGGCGCCTCACCCAGGCATAGGCGGCCTGCCCCTGGGCAGCCGCCTAGGCACTAGGGAACCTGCCTAGGCACCCAGCCCTAAGCAGCCACCCAGGGGTGGAAATGCCCCTCATTGATGGGCATTTTTGGGTTTTTTTTTAATAACAAGGGGAATAAATGTGAGTTTTAGGTTCATTTGAAACCTAAACCCCATTAGATTCTATTTTAAATAGAGAAAAACCTCAAAAAATTAGTTTCTAGGCGTCCAACTTTTCTTTCTACTGGGCCTATTTTACAAGTTCCCCCCATTAGAGCCTATTTTAGGCAGTACAATTTTTCTTTCTATTGAGCCGCCTAGTTTCTGGGCAGCCTGGCCCCCCCAGCCTCCTGGGTGCCACCCATCGCTTTTTGAAACACTGGATGAGGCTATACATAAATCAAGTTTGGATTATTAGAAATATCTCAAATGCATCATGAAGATTGTGAACTCTATTCACCTGTATTGCTATGAAATAAAGTGCACTCCAAGCTCAACAGAAATAAATTTAACAGAACTCCAAAGTGCGTCAATAGTCATATATAGTTATCCAACAGAATGTTCAGGTCTTTTTCATGTATATCAAAACAAAAAAATTATAGGAGATACGCTGAGCTAAACTTACCAATCCATGGAAAAAGGAGGACTGGATAGATCAGAAAGTGGACTTGTTTCAAGCAACAGTGTGCCCACCAAATCTTGTAACCAGAATCTGAAACATCAGATATTTAGATATTAATAACACATGATTCATCACAATAAAGTAAAAACTACAAAGAACAAAATCAGACAATGATAAAAAAGAAGTATACCTTCGTAGGGAAGTTCGTGCCAAAATTGTGTTCATAACTGGAACCAGCACAGCTTCCATGGGATAAATGAATGTCCTTTCAAAAGCTTGTACATAATCTGCCTGTTTCCCCTCACTTTTAGCAACACCAGGGGAACAATGAGTCTCTGTATGATCAAATTTTGCAACAGTTCCTTGTGGAGAGTTTTGTAGCAATGTAGTCTCTACTTTTGAGCTGGGTATCCCCAGACTAACTTCTGCATAGCAGTTCTGTCCCCTGACCTTGCAGCCAGAAGATGGAGTAACAGAGAAAGGTATGCCAAGAACTGTCATCGAACTTAAAGCTTTGGCTTTGCTGCAGATGATCCAAGCCAACCAAAATAAAATACATAAGTTCAATAAGAATCTTATTAAAACTTACCAACCCTCAGAAGCTACCTTTATCCTCATTAGACTAAGTGGGACTAAAAGATCAAATGGAATACCTAAAATATATCTGCTTCACAAGATCGCTTGGACAACATCCAGTAAGACTACCCCTCATCCCATGTGGAGCAACAACAACTGTGAACAACTCCAAAGGAAAACAATCAAATATAGTTCTTTAAAACTTTGGCAAAACATTAAATAATAACAACAACAATAGCTAGATCAAATAATCTTTTTTAATTGTTATTTTGATCAGATACTCAGAATAAAAAACACACAACGACATTATACGGCATCAATGATTACAATTCAAATTCTATCATTTACCAATAATTAGTGGCATGGAACAGGAAGAAAATGACCAACTCGTATAGATTATAGAGGCTAAAAAATGAGGCTACCACAGAATAGAGCCCCTTGACAGAATTGAATGTAAAAAATCCAAAATATTATATTATAAAGCGAGTAAAGGCAGGGTTGACCAAGAGAGCATTGCTGACTCATCAGAACACAAAAAGAAAACTTTATTACTGATTAACAAAGTGAAAGTGCAAGAGTAAACTGGACCATTCATGACCAAAAGGCACAAACTGTGTGTGCAATTTTAAGCTGGGACATTCTTGTAATCAACTATGGCACGGTGACTAATACCAAATATGTATGAATTACGGAAGCACCAACAAGACCGCAAATGGGGTACGTCAAAATGGAGCCCTTTAACAATATTGATAATTTAAAACACACATCATTTTATAAAGTAGGCCAAGTCAGGTTTGACCAAGAGGGTACCACTGACTCATCAGAATAAAGGGAAAAAAAAACCCTTAGGTATGTTTGGTTAATATGCAAAAATTTCATTGAACATTTTTCGCGTAAAATATGCATTATGCACGTTTCGTTCATGTGGAAATCATACGATTTTATCCCATGGCAGAATAGCTTCCCATAAAATAGAGCAATCCATGTGAAAAAATCCCTTAACCTCATGAGGTGGGGAAGAACTTCCCATGGGAACCTTTTCCCATCGGACCGAATCTATACCTATTAGATACAACCTATACTCGTCACGTCCGCACAAAGCCAAATTAACCCTCCTCTCTCTCTCT